TTGGGTTTGTGAATCCTGCCCGGGAGCTCCCAGCTGTGCTCCACTCGTGTAAACTATGGGGCAGGGGTGTCCTTAGCACCGTGTCTCCTCTGCCCCCCAAGTAAGCGGGGTTAACCAAGGGCGTGTTTTGTTCACCTTTGCTCAGGTGGCATCTTGCAGATGACCTGCCCCTCGTACGTGAAAATGAGTCTTAGGGCTGCTGGGGTGGGTGGGCAGACTGACTGCATTACAACAAGGTGGAGGCTGTCTTGTCACACATAAGGTTATTTTAAAATAAATAAATAAATGTGCCCTGATACTGTTTTTTTTTAGCCTGAAGACTGCTGCTCGGTCTGCAGGTAGCTAAAGCATTAGCCAAAGGCAAGTAAAAAACCGTAAGCCCGTTATCAGGAGACTTACATTTGCTGTATAAAGATGTGCATCTCCAAAAGTTAATATTAGGATGCACAAAATTGACAAGATGGAAAATCAGTGTGCTTAAGCTGGGAATGTTAGGTAACACCAAAGGCGATCTTTTAATATATACACAAACAAAAATTCATGCTGTAAGTTACAAGCTGAGTGTAAACTCCCATTCAGTGAATGTAGTTCTTTTACGTTTTTTATAAAAATGACACCTATTTTTCATTCTGTTTTTAGGAATTATTCAACATTAATTAAAATGTCTTCTACCAAACCTCCAAATGAAAATGAAACACCCAAAGAGAGAAAACCAGGACTGAGGAGTGTTCGAACAACTATGCTCTTCCTTTTTTGAGCTTTTCTCTAAACCTGTAAGAGGCTCATTTTGAGAGAAGCTAAGTATGCTTGGAGAGACATGGTTGCTCTAAAATAATCATCGCAATTCTCTGTGCATTATATAACCATTTCTTGTTATGCAAACCACTCAGTAATGTAACTAAAAATATTTTTACTATTTTTCCACTCGGATTGTTAAGAGCCCAGAACATTACACTGTTTATTCCAGCTTTTATTTCACTATTATATTGTCCGATTCTTTTGTACCTAGCCAAGTTGCTTTCAGAAAAACTGTTTACAGGCATATTACCCATGTAATTTGACAGGTTAAGTAATAGGAGTCCTCTTTAATATTTAAAAGGGAACAAATCATAAAATGCAAGCTTTGTGATATGAAAGGAGGGGATTTTTGGTATTTTGGATTTTTCTTTTTCTTGCTTTTTTAATTAAGGTGATGATACTCAGGTTTTATTTACACTAGCAGAACCCAGCAAGACTGGATGAAATTTTGTGCATATAATAAAAGTAGGTGTTGTGATGATAATACATGATCTGTTTTAGAGGAATATAATCAAGGTTGCTTGGCAGGAGCAGGGTATGTTCTAAACTAAGATTGAAGAATGTAATGTTTGTGATGAACGAAAAATGTTTTGACTAAAAATGTACTAATTTCTTTTTTTTTTTCCGGTCAGAACAAACCTGTGATGGCATTTGGTCTCGTAGCAATTACCCTCTGTGTGGCCTACCTTGGTTATTTGCATGCAACGGTAGAGAATAAAGAGGACCTTTATGAAGCAATCGACAGTGAGGGGTCCAGGTATATGAGGAGGAAAACTTCCAAGTGGGACTGACAACGTAAGGAAGGAAATCAGTAAATCAGTCACAGGAATTTTCAAGGCAACTACTTTTTTTTTTCCCTGTCCATTGAAATAATGGATAAATGTCTCTCTTGCTGTTTAATCCAATTTAAGTTCCTTTATAAAATGCTGTGCCTGTACAAATAAATTGCAATTAAGGTACATGTGAACACAGAATTGATTTTAAGAATTGCTGTCTGCAATCTCCACAGTATGTCAGAAGACATGCAATTGGCTCAGACGTGCAGTCAAGACTGGTAAATGCCTTAGAAATTTACATGATAGTTCAGCTCACTTCTCTCTTTGCTTTGATTAAGTGAAAACAGGTTTGCCTTTTATTTTTTTAAACAGAAGGCATAATGTATTGTCTGTGAAAAGAAAAAGCTGATCTCTTGATCTGTTGAAAGTTGATGATTAACAGTGGTGCAAGTAAAATAATTTTAAGGCAAGAAAGATCTGATAAGGCAGTCATTGGAGGGTTTTATTTAATAAAGGAATTTGTAAAATACTGGCCAAAATAATCCTTGGATGCTAATATACTCTTCCTTACGAATGAAAAAAAAAAATCAGTAGCTAGATTGAGGAGAAAAAGTGAAATGAGTGCTTCTGCCAAGAGAAAGGCAGGAAGAACTCAGCCATTACCTCTCCTGTTTGGCATCGGGCAGCAGATCAGTGAACATACCAGCATCAGCTTGCCAACCAATATGTATAACTCCTGGTTAGCCAGAGCTTGTGGGATGTTCTTGACTCGTCAGCAGGACTGGTTTATTTAAGCTGCATTTGAAAATTAAATTTCTCTATATTGCAAAGTACATTATATAACATTAATTTATTCTAGGTTACTGAACTCAAAATAAGGAACAGAAAGTCTAAAATCAACAGGTTCTTACAGACACAGAGAAAAGAATGTGTCAACCTGAACAAGCCCAGTCTTGCCAAACAGCCCCGCCTGCGGGTTGGAGGTGACCCTCGGCAGTATGCTGGTTGGTGCTGCTGTGAGTGTGGCTGGACGGCAGGCGGGTGTTGTGGCTTTTCCTTAGCACATGAGGTGGTCCCCTGTGAGCCTTTACCTTGAGCAAACTGTACAGGTGAATACTTTGCTGTTCCAGCACTGAGGCCTTCTCCTATGAGCTCCTCCAGCTACTTCTGTGTGCCTGGCGTTTCCTAGATGGTATCCCATTAACCAAACTCCAGAACACGTGGTGGGAGGGTGCATACCAGGCCGTGCCCTTTTTCCACCACAGATCCTTATTTATGTTCCGGTTGCATTTTTCCATTCAGGTCCTCATACTTACAGCCCCATCAAGGGCTCCCAAGAAGCTGAGAGACCTCTTTGTTAACCCTCTTCTGGCCAAGGTGGCTTCTGTCAAGCCAAAGAAGAAAGAACGTGCAGGGACATCTGCTTTGCCACTCTGGGAATTGCTTTGGGTTTTGTTACCGAAAGATTTTGTTATTGAGGATAAAATAGGTGACTGACTGCCTTGAGGGATAGCAGTTGCTCTATGGGATTTCTCTGTATCTCCCTCTAAAGCCTTCATTTTGAACCTGTGATTTTCTTCCTATCCATGTTTTGCAGTTATCTATATCTTAAATTCAGCTGGGCCTTGGTTTGGCTACCTCCTTCTTGAGAAGGGAAGTGAGCTCTAGCTTTCATGAAGCTATAGAAAAAAAAAAGCCATTTTTACAGCCTTTAAAAGCATATTCCCCTCTGTGGGCCCAGCTGCCTCACAACAGCAAGGTCTTGGGCAAATCCGAAAGCTTGCAGATGAGGAAACTACTTGCCTTTTGATCGGTGAAGGACTTTCCAGGTGAATCGATGAAATATTCAGAACTATCACATGCTGTGCATATCCTGTAGAATAGGTTTTGTTTGATAGGATGTGAATGGATCTTTAGAATTAATCCGTTCTTTTAAAAAGGGTCACACAGGATTTTAGTTCTCTTCTGTTCATTAAAATGCATGAGTCTTGGACGTTTGCATGAGTTTAAATAAATTATTCCAAAACCAGTGCTACAGTAAGCATTTTAACCTGTTTTTCTGCAGGCTTTTAAAATACACACTTTGATCCTTATACCTGCAGATGATTAGAAGTGAGAAAGCCCAGTCTCTCATTTTCACATATTTGGGAACAATGCAGGACTTGGGTTCTCAAAATTTTGAATTCTGTTTTGTGAAGTGAATATGGATCTGGAAGTTACTGAGGGAAAAGGAGGGGGGCAGGTGAAAGAGAAAGGTGTGGGACTGACCGGGGCAGGGTCTAGGTGGTGTGCATGCCAATGGCACTTCATAGAAAAGCTGTCTGAGATGGGGCCTCTTACCTGTTGGATGGAGTAAAGCCCTGTTAACCAGGTTAATTTGGAACTGCCCAGGCTGAAGGACTGTTTAGAGTATTTAGACTTGTCCATATTATTAAGGAGCTTCTCCGTATTTATTTGTGGCAGCTGCTGTACAGGTAACTCTCTTAATGCTACAAAAATTATATATAAAAAGGAGATAAAGCAGTGCAAATACAGAGAAGAATGTAGTAAATTAATGGGTGTTATAGTAACAATACTGGCATTTGCTGTTTTAAGTACCTGATTTATATCATAAAAACTATGTGTGTATAGGGATTAAAGGGAAAAAAACCCCACCCAAACAAAACTACATCGGTAACAAAACCTGTTCGCTCAACTCTGAAAGCACTGCTCCCCTTATGCAGCTGGAGGATAAGCAAACAGCACCAATACAGTTTCTTTTGTTCTGCTTTTCTCAATTTCATCTTTAATGTAGTAATAATTATCTACAATGGATGATAGCTAGCTTGACAGGAACTGTGAGTCAAAATGATTTCCCAGGCAGAGGCTCTTTCAGGTTTTTGCCAATTTCTTATTGTCTGTGCTGGCTTTCTCATCTTTACCAAGAGCAGCAACAAAATGCTGATTCAAATATCTGAAACAGTAGCTATTGTACTGCTCCTAAAATCTCCTTAGACTACATGGTTTGAATAGGAACTGTTGACATTCAGCAACAAAAAAATGCATTAAAAAGCCAAAGCCTGCTGTGACGCTGCTTAACTATTACCATGGAAAGTTAGTTCTTTGTGAGCAAAGCCAGCCCTGCCTAGTGACGGTTGCTATGTAGGGAGCTGTATTAAGGCTGGAAGGGGTCACTTCATGCAACCTTCCCTCATCGTCTGCCTACAGCATGTTACTGAGCTGTCAGCATGTGTGAATCCTTATCTGAAGGCAAACATTTCAGCTAACTTGGTAAAAAGTAATAGTGATTTTTCTCTCTTCGTTGGCTTGCGTGTTTCCTGTAGCCACAATAAGTGTTTATGCCTGCAAGCAAGAGATCTATCAGGAATAGAGTTCTGACATTTTAGTAACTGTATTACAGGAAAATACTAGAATACCACAATGATCAGAAGTCCCGATCTGGACTCCTTTGTTTGTTGTGCTGTATGTTCAAAAATAATACCACCACCACCTTCCAACGCTACTTTTGCTCGGATTCGGGAGTATAAGCCTTTCAGAACACGGTATTACACTCATCGTGATATACTGGGTAAGTTTGTTCCTGAAATCCTTTCCTCACAATCTGAGATTTAGGAAAACTCCAAGAGCTGTTGTATCCATCTGTTCTTGACAGTCATGAAGGCATTCACATCTTGGTAAGAAAGAACTGCTCTTACCTTCTGAGTATTAATAAACCCTGCATATTCAGAGGAGGGACAGGGTCAGCCATCCTGTGGAGCATGAAGGCGTTCAGATTTGGGCATAATGAAGTGCAAAAGAGAATTAGCTGCAAGACCGTTAGCAAATATTTTCTAAGGCTCAAGTAGTTTGGGAAGAACTATGCTTGACTTAACATTTGCAAAGATCATCCCCTCATCCTTCAACAGGACACAGCTGGGATGTTTTATCCTGAACCCTACCTTTTATCCTACCCTACCTGATTCTGGCTGCTGACCTTAGATTGAGGCTCTGTAGAGCCTCTTGAGGTTTGATTTTTTTCTGGCATACCACAATCATAACCTCAACGATGAAGGAAAGCATATGGTGGCATTCATATGTTTGAGGATCTAGCAAGAAACTGAAGTATCTTTATATGCCACGCCCAGTTGTCATAGAGGTTTCTGATCAGCAGTGTAAAATTCTGTAGAAATCATGTTGTGCATTTTAATTAATGTGTGTTGTGAAGAGGAGCGTGCTTGCTTTCAATTTTAAACAATATCAAGAGATTACCAGTGTACCTGGCAGCAGGGTGAGTGTTGTGCACATCTTGGAACGCGAGGCTTCAGCCCTGCGTTGACACACGCAGTGTAAAACATGTCCAGAAGGCCAGACAGTCTCCTTTTAAGTTATTTTCTCTTTACTGCTTAATATAATGGACTGGGGAAGAGCTACACAGTCAGAGCGCAACATGCTTGCTGCTACGATTTATGCACTGTTGGACTTATATTTTGCTGTTTTAAATCAGTTGACCCCTTTGTCCCATCCTGATACTGCTTTCCTTGTACTTCGCGTTAGCTCCATGAGAGGACTCTGCCCACCCATGTGGAGTGGGGAAGAAGACTGGAGTGAAAGAGGGAGACTTAATCTTCCAGTGGCTGTGTGAAAGCTAGAGCTCCTGTGGCGCTATTCCTTTTTCATTTTCCTTATAATAATCCAGGAAAATGTGACACTCTGGGCCTGTCAAGCACAGAGAATGGGATCCAAAGCAATGCCCAGGCTTGGCACTGAGTAGGAAAGGCAGAGGGGGAGGATCTGAGATCCCACTGGGCGGGGGGAGTTTTGGGTTACAGAAACACATCTTTGTCCACCTCCCTCTTCAGTGGCTTCTCTTCTGAGCGATCCTTGGTGCTGAAGACCAGTCTTTCAAATGAGTTAGCAGGGCTACTTGTTTGCTTTCACAGCATGTCCACAGGAGGAGACCTTACTTAGACCCCATCCATGTTGTTAAAGGGAGCACCCCTGGCCCAGGCCCTGTGAAGCAGTGTGGCTCACCTCCATGCTGCTTTGCTCCCCCTCTTGAGAAGGGATTAGTTGTGCACCTGCAGCACTGGAGCTGCTTTGGCCCTGGACAGACACAGCAGCCCTAGAGACAGAGGGATTGCATTGTATGCGCATGCTCTGTTCCCAACACCTGAAATATTCTGCCATATCCCCCTGAGGATATTTATTGTGTGCC